TATATTATCTATCATTCATTCAAGGCGACAGGGCTGCTTTGCTTATCAGAAAATCAATGAAAATGACTAGATGACTTTAGTCTTTTGACCTACTAAACAGCCAAAATCTTGTTGTAAACATTTTCATCATTTGACATTTTCTATTCAACATGCCACTTTCAAATGTTTTAAAGAAATTGTTTATTCATCTTTAACATATCTTACTTCATTGTGGCTGGATGTGTGAGCCAAAGGTCCTATTCCAATGTAAGTGTTGGTTGTGTTTAAGAAAAGCACCTATAAAACAGGACTGCTACACATCATTGAATCATTTTACAGAGTGTGACTCAACACTGACCCAGCTCTGCTTTCTGCATGAGGACCTGAGTGAGGGTCCAGCGGATCCCGCCGATAAAGGAGGCCAGCAGCACCATGCTGAAGCCCTGCAGGTTGAACTGGGTGGACTCAAAAGTAAACATGAACAGACCGCTGGAGATCAGCAGGACCACCACCACCAGGAATGGGTTCTGAAAGAGAGAGACAAGGAGAGACAGTAAGAGAAAAAAGAGGAAATCCCAGACCAAAAAGAATTGTTTTGAATGGATAGAAAGTGAAAAGGGAAAAAGCACACTTGATATCATATTTTGAATGGGCTTTCTTAGTGATGTCACACATCTTCAGGCTGTGTTGGCCTTCCTTAGCTCTTGTCTGTTCATGAATGGAAACTGAATTTGCCACGAATAATGTGATCAGTTGAAATGGATTAGCTGGCCATGGCTTTGCTGCTTGCTTTAATAATCTAGCATTAACAGAACATTACCTGTAGCACAATTTGTAAATGTCAATAAATGACTATACAGCCCACATTAGCAAACCCACACATATGTGCCCTGCTAATTCGAGTTCCCCTCAAATTAGACTGCAGAAGGAATATATTACATATCATTATTTCAGCTATGTGCTGATAAAACTTAGTTAAATGTAACGATTGCCTAAATGTCAACTTTGAGAACTCTCTTCACTAAAGTTTCATGCAGGCATTGGTTGTTTTGTTGCTAGGATACTGGTGATGTAATGCTCACCTCTCAATCTGCATGTGAGCCTTTCATGAATATGTCCATTTATATTAAAATATATATATATAACGTATAATTACGTAAAAGATATGGTCCCATTTAGAACCATACATGTCCACACAACAGGACACCCATTTTCTGCCTCTTTACTCTGCAGTGCTCTAACAATCAGAGCGGTGAAAATATCTATTTCATACAAGTGGCTCCTTTCAAATCCAGGCACTGAGAGAGGTGAGACGGTGAAGGGTTAGTCAAATCAATTTGATTTAATCACGAGAACACTCCGCAGGTTTTTGCCCTTTGTCCGAACAATCACTTTCACTTCTGCCTTTGCTGCACATTATCTGATAAAAGGCAATTTCCTTACAGCCAGTATTCACTACAACTATGAAGGGAACATAATAAGGAAGAAAGAATTATATCAACAAATGATTTCAACAAGTGATTGAAGTTGGAAAAAAAAGGTCACTCACCGGCTCTTCTAGTTTAAACACCAGAGAGAAAAAAAGGATAAAAAGCACTGCTGAAGATTTGGTCATGGTGTACCTTGAATGACACAAAAAAATAGCCACACTTAAGTATGGAATAAACAATAAATGGGTATTTACAATGTGTATAACCTTAAGTGTTTCAGTTTGAATTAAAGAAGCATCCTCTTTTACACAATCTGAAGAAAAAGAAAACTTACAAGCTAATGGTGATGAAGAGGAAGCTCCAGTTGGAGAGTCCAATATCCAGTGCTGTTGCCAAGGCTGGGTCATAAAGACAGAGTTGAGGAGTTAAACACAAATGCAATAAATGGGGTTCTTGTATCACTACTTTGCAATTATCTTTAACACTTACCACATATATAACGTGTTATTGCCATTCAAATGTTGGCATTTTACACATTCAAATATCTATAATGTTTTATGACTGTTTAGGATGATCCTTTCCTGTAGTGTGTTCTATAGGTTTCTGTGCATGTAAATGGTCTGCAAAGGATAAAATCCCTGTGTTCCCTTTAGAGGGAGTGTCTCTCCCACACACTGCCCCACCCCCCGTCTGAATCTCCTCCATTGGACTCCTTTTCTTACTTCAGTATAGGGTTGGGTATCGTTTGGATTTTAACGATTCCGGTTCTGCTTTTCGATTCCGGTTATTTTCGGTTCTCGATTCGTTTTTTTTGAGAGGGTAAAAATAATTCCCATGCGAATTTCACAGGGAGAAAAATATATATGTCATATCTGTATTCCTATTTACAAATCACTTCATACTGTAATTTTGTTGCGGTTATTGAATACAATTATATTAAAATAATCTCTGCATTGTTTAGTTAGTTCTAAGTGGTGCAGTTTGAGAATGTACAGTTGGCCCAGTCTCCTCTGATGTTACACTGCAACCTGCCTGTGAGACAACCACACAGTCTGTGTCCAACACATGTCCTGCAATACACATGCTACAGCTGCTCACTGTTTGTAAAAGTACATACATTATATTTTCATTTCAATAATGTTTTTTCTATACCCTGCTTCATAAACAATACTGACATCATGTGCTAGCTACACGCCCCGCCCCCGTCCAACAGTACAGAAAGCGGCGAGATGCATTTCCTTAGGAATCGATAAGCAGAACCGAAACTAACATTTCTAAACGATACCGATGGAATCGAAATGTTGGAACCGGTACCGGATTTCGGTACCCAACCCTACTTCAATAACATTATGACATCACTATCTAACACTCACGGATCTATTGGCAAGCACTCCAACACATTGTACGTGATTTGCTAAGGGGTTGGGGACATCTCTAAGCAGTTGACCAATCACAACAGAGCCAGCCAGCTAACCAATCAGAGCAGAGTGGGCTCTGGTTTCAGACAGAGGGTGAAAAGAGGTGCTGCAGCACAGGCAGTATGAGAGAAAAAAAGAAGAGCTTTTTGAACATTAAAGCATGGAGACATGTCAAAGTACATTTGTGTAACTGAAAATGCGCATTAAAGGCCTCCTTTAAAGACAAAACAGAAAATGTGCAATCCACTTCAAAAGTTTCTGCCCAATTAAAAACACATCAGGTTTAATATATATATAAGCTTGTGATGATTGCAATGCGGGCTTATTTTTAATCTTTTACTATCCTCATGTGTGATGTAATGTATGCGTCAAAATGGGCTTTAGTCAAAGTACTCTGAACATGATAAGAGCTGACTATCAGTTGCTTTTCTTATCATGTGTTCGCTGCATAGACTGATGCATTCTGAACAGTTATATAAAACTCTCCACTAAAATCTCACCTGTAGGAGCCACTTTATGGAGGTAATCTGTCCAGCTCAGAATGACGCGAGGTTTCCCTGTCCAGCACTGCATGGCCCTTCGAGTCAGAGCAGACAGGCAGAAGTTGATGGTGAGATGAACTAATGTCATGAAGAGGGGATAGTGGAAGCCCTGTGAGAAAAACACAGAAACGCTATGTTAATCTGGTTTGATGATTTTAACACCCTGCATGCCCTGTGCAGATGAACAGTCCTGTTCCTAAGACCTCTTCACTTACCTTCATCAGCCATTTGTTATAGAATGTGATGCCTATAGAGAAGGCATAGTATAGGAGAACTAATCCAACAGTGCGAATTCCCCGGCAGAGGAACTGGACCGGGCACGCCATACAGGTCTGTCAGGATCAAGAAAGATCCAGAAAAGACAGCTAATGTAGAAATGTCATCTCCAAACAGAATCTGCAGCCTTTCCTATCAGCCATAGCTTCAAGAGAGGGGGGAGAAACAAGGTGTTAATATCTGCACAGCTGCCTACTCCACATGTCAATACTGCATATGTATTGTTTTATTTTATTAGTATTTTCGTATTATACTGTACGGATTTGTTGGTGTATTTATATTTCATTTATTTATTTCCCTATATTTTATTATGTTATAAATAATTGTTTTTTGTTTTTTTCTTACACTTCATCTTCTTTAACTGTGTTTATGTAGGCACCATACACCAAGATAAATCCCTCGTATGTGTAAACCTTGGTAAAAAATACCTGTTTCTGATTCAGAGGTTAGGGATGTTACACCTGAACAAGTAGCTAGATAGTTAGCTAGTTATTAGAGTTATACATTAGCCTGCTGCACTGTTAGCTTAATGGCAACATTAGTGTTAGCTTAAGTTGGCAACCACTATCAGCTAGCTGTTTAACCACGTAAGCAAGATTCCCCCACATTAGCCACATTTAGCCTACAAACTATAAACAGTTCACTATTATTAACTAGAGCATCGTCTAATATTAGCTAATGAACTCACCAATAGCCAATGTAGTGGTTGCCCTCAACAGATGGCAGATGCTGAGTTTGTCCAGTTGTTAGTAACCAAAGTAACTTTATAACGGGAGCCCATTAGTGGATATTTGCCTGCTATTGTATATTTGGTATAGGTTCATTAACGCTAGCTAACTTTCTAAATAAACAAATCCGTTATGTCTTTGCGTAGACAATAACATTATTTAAGCTGTCAACATCCCATGACTTCTGCAAATAGTGACAGTGCGCCAAACCGTGACGTGTCATTGTTTTTGTATGACGACACCCACATAGAGAACTCCATTGATACATCTGTGCAGTCTTAGTGGCCGGGTTTATTTCTCACTTACAAGTCACAAGCATTACAACCGCAGACTTTGCTCGAATGAGTGTGAACCGTTCTTCAATTCGGCTTACATGTGGCCCACACAAAGGAAGTGAGATTTAATTAACGCGGTCTTCCAGTGGTGAATTTGTAATGTAGCATGGCGGTGAACCACATAGACACTGGTATGTTAAATAGTTATGTTTCTAAGTTGAGTTTGGCCTGCAACACAACAACATTTGCTGGCAGCAATCTAAAGAAAAAGAAGGGAAGTATGAGAGGAAATATGCTTAAAGATACCTACCGTTAGTCATGTTGTCATGGGGTTGAATATATGGCTGAAGAACATTCGTTTATCAACCTTAAACTGTATGTAGCGGTGAGCAGAGACGACTCCTAAGTAAAATAACCGCTAGGGGACAGTACTCTCTACAGCACTCCCCTGTTCTCCCCAAATAACTTCCAGTTGAAGAAAACCGGAAGAAATGCAACTGAAATCTGTTTGTAAACCGCCTTTAAAATAACAGAAGAAGAAAAAACCGGAAGTCAACAGAAAGTCTGTTATGTTGTGCTCAGTGCTGCGCTGAATTACAAGGTAAATTAAACACGAATGTGGGTATTCTGTTTACTTTACACACGCATATATTGTTTTGTTAGCATATATAATGAGGCTCGATGATAAGGCGTTTTTTCTATTTGAGTTTTTTTTATAGTTTTCTTGTGTTTTTCAGCAGAATGGCGGATGAGGAGGACGAGACTGGCTACGATGAGGAGATGGACGACGGATCCGGCGGAGTGGATTGCGGCCACGGGAAGAGGAAGAGGCTCTTCTCCAAGGAGCTCCGGTGCATGATGTACGGATTTGGAGACGACCAGAACCCGTATACTGAGTCTGTGGATATTCTGGAGGACTTGGTTATCGAGTTTGTCACCGAAATGACCCACAAAGCCATGTCTATCGGACGCCAGGGCCGTGTCCAGGTGGAGGACATCGTTTTTCTAATTCGGAAGGACCCTCGGAAGTTCGCCCGAGTCAAAGACCTGCTGACCATGAACGAGGAGCTGAAGAGAGCCCGCAAAGCTTTCGATGAAGCTAATTATGGCTCATAAACAAAATGTGGCTGTTACATTATTTGTAATGGCTTTTCAATAGCTGTCCTGTGTTCAGACTTGACTTGCTGTCCAAAGTCTGTTTTTTCTGATCTAACGTTTATTATTTCGTATGGTGGTATGGGAGACAAACATTGTTACCTGTTCTCATACTGTCTGTCTGGGATTCTCAATAAAGAATTGTTGTTTTAATATGTAGTCATTAATGTTAATATATAAGAATACCCAGAAGAGACTGTTTCTTTGATAAAATAGCAAGTACATCCAGATCAAACGCATGCATAGGTGCGTGTTTATTTAAAAGCAAATTACGGGATGAATATATAACATTAAGTTAATTAAACATGCCAGGGGGTCAACATAGAAAGGAACACAAATACACTCAATTTTGCTCCATTTAAATGATTGATTAAATCTACCAATATCTTAACAGAATGGTAGTTTTATTCTTTTCCTGAACACAAGGACAACATCCACACAAATCTTCTCTATCCTTGTTTACCAAGAATATATTTTGGGGAGAGTCCAAACCTTTTTCCTGCATGAATTGTCAACATTATTATTCCTTAAAAATGTTTCCAAAACAGGAACAGCTTGACATTTAAATCGACTTTTCCTTAAATCTGGAAAAGTGACATGTATTGCTCAATATCACAAAAACTTGTTAACGTAACCCTCTAATAGTGGTTAACAGCCAACCAACTTGTATTTCTCATGACATATGCCACAGCTAACATTAACTAGCAATTATACGTTTTTAGTCTCTAAACATAAAATCAAAATCCTCTTGTCATAGCTTTTCAATGTGGATATTTGCTGCTTTATTTTAATCTTAATATTTTGATTTTATTTTTGAAAGGTTCTCAAAAACAAGTTAAACACGTCAACTTTGACCCTGTGAAAGTCTGATGGAAAACTTTTACTTAATTCTAACATTTTATCAACAAAATGAAAAATGTATTCAACTAGAAAATAATCCACAGCTTTTTTAGGACTCAAACCCTGATTATCCTCATAATTGCTTGATCACATTTCTTAACCACAGTCAGGGGTCTATAGCCAGGGCCCAGGAGTTCAAAACTTTGAATCCCTATCTGATCAGATCAGATTTGGATTTTGGGGAGTTCAAAACCAAAAAACAGGATTAGGATCACTTTCATATCCGATCAGATCAGGAGATCCAATCCAAGCTTTAATCTGGATCAAATCTTCAAAATGGGTAGTTCAAACCGACAACACAGGATTGGGATCAGTTTGATCCCAAAAAACTGGATTATCCTGATCCCACCAAACGGGTGGATTTCCAGTGGATTACTAGAGCAAAATGTACTGTACAATTTATTTTAAAATATGTTTCAATTTAAATAAGATGGCAAAGTTTGTTAACTGAAATAATACACAATTTTTAGCCTTCATGGGAAATACATTTTATTTTTTCCATCTTTGCTCACGTTTGTGGTGGCCTATTTTGTTTTCAACCAAATGTTGATGACATAAATGTTTATGCTCATAAAAGTATCACAGCAAAGATTGTCAATCACAAATGTAATTTAAATTAAAGTAAAAATATCTTCAACAAAAAAAAAGTCCATCATCTGTCATCACCTTTCAAATAAAAAAATATAATTAAACATTATAGATGTCTCTGCAATGTGGTCTCTTGTCTTCCTTGTATTATTTTTCATGTCCACTAGATGGCGATCGGTAGGATTAAAGCATTGATATTCAGGATCTAGTCATCTTGAAAAATCGTAATCTGGATCAGGCTGATCCTATCCTGAATTGCTTTGAACTCCAGGGACAAAATCTGGCCGATTTGTCTGATCCTGGATCACAAAAAATGGGATTTCAAAATCGGATCGGATCTGATTGAGATTAAAAGTTTTGAACTCCTGGGTCCTGGAGATACAAGTCTAAACAAAGTTTTACCAATCTCCTTACACTTAAAAAAGTATTTTGCTCCAAAGCAGTTCCCCCAATCAGTCTACAGTGTGTCCAGCAATAGTGATAAAGACTACACTGGCTGGTTTTAAACACGATGGACAAAACGAAGAAACAGACAGATTTTATTGATTTTCCTCAAAACATTTTTTTACACAGACCATAAATATGACAGCCAACTACAAGTGAGCATGTGTGTTAACTCATTTATTCTGTTCAAGCACTTTACTTCTTTGCACAGTGACGTTGTTGGATTCGTTGGTCTAAGGAGTAGGTAGAATGCTGCATTTCTATCTAGATCTCTAAGTAGACCCGAGCTTTTCCAGCAGGTGCGGGAGGGGGGCACTTATGACACGCAACTGTCAACGCATGCAAAAGGTGTGTGCAGCAAATTTCTGCACTACAGCCGTGCCGTCCTGTCACAGGGTGAGGCGTCAGCGCAGCATCCTTCTGCATTCACAAGTGAGCCGGGGAAGAGGGTACCCGCCCCAGGGCCCCCCCTCCGCCGAGTGCCCTAGCTGTCTGTTGAGGCTGGCTTTAAGGATGGAGAAGAGAGGCAGTGAACCAGATGGAGAGTAGGGAGGAGAGGGAGTGCGTGGGGGTGTGTAAGTGGGGGTCAGATGCGTTCAGAATGGGGGTTCACAGGGAGGAGGAGGAATGTCCATGAGTCTTTCCAGTTTTACTGCACATTCTCCATCATCTTGAGGAATTCTGGAAAAGAAGAAGAAACCGGATAAGTAAATAATTACTTTACAAAATATACCTAGTATAAGTAATATATAAGTAACTAACACTAAAGTCACTAAAACATCAGTATCAGATATAATGTAGTTAAACGACAATATAAGATTATTTAAAAAATCGGATACCTTAGAGATCAATTTATATAATCAAGTGTTTTCTTCTAAGTTTTGTACATAATATAAAGTAAAAGTATTTGTAAAAATATAAGGATTCTTTAAAATAGCAAAAAATGCCGTACCGTCAAAGTCCAGCATGCCGTCGGTGTTTTTGTCTCCATCCCTCATCAGCTCATCGACTTCATCCTCTGAGATGGGCTCGCCGGTGCTGCGGATGATGAGAGCGAACTCCTCTCTGTCGATGTAGCCGTCGCCGTTCCTGCGCAAAAACACACACGTAAAGGATTGTGTACACAAACAAATAGAGCAAACAAAAATACTACTCTTTAAAATGAGTACAGCGTGACAGTAACAGCATGAACGTACTTGTCAAAGATACGGAAGCACTCTGCCAACTCTTCCTCGCTCTTGCCGGCCTGGTCCTCCTTTAGCAGCCTCACCATCATGACCAAGAACTCCTCGAAGTCAATGGTACCGCTACCTGAGAGTAATAAAGATCCACATAACTGATTAACAATGGTCACCCCAAACAGGCCCGAACAATGCCGTGTGCCATAGCGTGGGGACATTTTACGCATCAACCACGGGAAAGGAAACCCTAAAATGAACCCCTATCCATGTGATGTAATGATTTATATAACGTAAAACAAAACTAAGAGCTAAATGATCTGTTTAGAGGTCACCGGCATGTTGTTTGGGCCTTTGGACCAATACTCTGATTGCGCATCTGCGCAAATACTCCCATAACTAACGCATAATCACATAGTTTGGGTTCCAAATAATGCAATATAGAGTTTTTCTGTAGTAGTTTAATCAATCAACTTGATTTATTTGTATGTGATGTGGACAACGTATAGAGTGTCGGAGTCTCTTGTCTGTGCGTAAAACACTGATTGCGCACAATACGACTGCGCCTATACTGTGCTGCTTTCAGTGTAACACTTTATTATCGGCCGCTCACCGTCCTCATCGACCTCCTCGATGATCTCATCCAACTCCTCTCTTGTTGGGTTCTGGCCCAGCATCCTCATCACTTGACCCAACTCCTTGGTGCTGATGTCTCCGCCACCATCGGTGTCAAACATGTCGAAGGCGGCTTTGAACTCTGGATGAAGAAATGTGTCTCGTTATTCAAAAACTGGCCTACTTCGCATTGCCCTCTTGGTTGTTCAACACGTAATTAAAATCTACCTCTGTGTGAACAACGGGGGTGTAACACGTTGAGTGGAACTGGATGACACATTTTACCGTGATATATATATATATATATATATATATATATATAGGCTATATATATATATATATAATAGGGGAGTTTGATAATCTAAAACAGAATGCTTCTTATTATCTGATTAGCAATGTGTTACATTTCTGTGATAAAAACGTGTTTTGCAACCATTATACCCTATTTCACATTTTTCATTATTTTTATTTTTAGAGAATATTATCGCCCTATATTCTATCTTAAGACCACCGTATTAATATTTAAGTAAATAATATAATATTAAAAACACAATAATATATAGAAAATACTATTAAAATCAACTTGTCCACTTCACATAACGTATTTCCTGCAACCCACAAGCAAGTTCTTAGGTTACTGACCCCTGGGCAAAGTAACGAGATTACTTAAGTAACGCGTTACTGTAGCTTGTACCCTATACTCACCAGCCAGCATTTCCTCGCTCAGGTAGCCGCGGGCCTCTTGTTGCGCGTCAGTCTGGAAGAAAACAGGAGCCACGCTGTCACTACTTCATTCGCCATTTCAGTGTTTAATTGATAAATTAACACGGAAATATCAGCCTATGAAATATCATTATGGCGATACAGGGGAGTCAAACCACCAGTACGCACAAAACAAACAATACATTAAGGAATATGCTATAGATATATAATTGTTATTTTTACGTTACTTTCTGATAAGTCTTTTTGGTAATAACATGCTGTCATAAGTGATTTGTGCAGCATATAGTGCATGGCCAAGTCTCAAAAGGATTATTGAGCGTGCCTAAGAGGAGTCTTGAGTTATTTCGGGCTCAACACATTACGCGCGCTGTATATGGCCTGCAGACATTTAATCCTGAGGAATTTGTCGCATAAGCAGAATCTGCACCTTCCCAGCTGACCCCCCTCCCCCCCCCAAAAGACTCCCCCCATCTTCACTCTGAACCACGATCGGTAAGATTTGCAACAGAATCTGACAAAGTTTTAATTTAATAGGAATCCTACTACAAAACGCTAAGGAAGAAAGTCTTTACATTAAAAATATAATTATCAGAAAAAGGTCAATTTTATCCAAGAGATTCATATTTTAACACTCAGCCAACTTATTTCTGACACCTTCAGAATGCCTTTATTAATCAATCAACATCCTAATTCACATGCTTTCGTTATGTTTGGTTTTATAACTGGCTTAATAACTAACGGCTGGGTTAACATGATGTGTAGACCAACAGGCCGTTTGCACATAAAATCGGTCTTACCATGTTTGTGGATTAGCTTTTACTCCCCAATTATCCAAGGAAAAAAAGAAAAGTCCAAAGGAGTGGTCAATCCGTGTGCACCCCAACAGAGAGACTAGACGTCTAGTGAAGATTCTGACACACTTTAAACGGGGCAGCCAGGTCCCGCCCCCTGCCTCTCACAGGCCTACAGATTTAGTATCCTGAACTTTTAGGGTTCTCGGGCAACGGCAAGCCAATCACACTTTGGAGAGGAAAGCTCTCGTTTCTTTAAGTCGCAGGGTCGAGAATGTAAAAGAGGTCAATTGTGAGTTTTTGAGATCAGGTTAAAAGGTAGAAACTACTGAAAATAATCCAAAATTATTGAAGTTTTGGACATACTGCAAAGATAGTGAGAATATTACACTTTTGTCAAAAATCAGATGATCACAGGAGGAACTGTGCATTTCCTAGAAATAACTAATTTAGCAAAATACACTTAACAATCCAACTACCAGAGTCTTATTAGGACCCTAGAGCAACTTAGTGGTGATCTCTTTAAAATAACTAAACCATAATGTAACCAACATTTCAACTATATTGTCTACTATATAAATAAAACGTTGTATGTTGCCGCTCATCAGTGCTGCTACATCGGCCTTGTCAATACAAACAGTAAAGGGTAAGCTAAGATTTTAAACTAGGATATGTTGCGTTTGTGATGATGCCATTTTAATCTTGGTGTGAAACACAAAACAGGGAGAAAAATGCTATAGAGCTGGACCCCATCTCACCCATCCCCCCAATTCTATGCATCCCCCCCACCCCCTTAAGCCGTGAATAGCAGGCAGATTTTAGGGAGGACAGACTCACCCGGGTGCCTAATCAACACAACCTGATGCTCCTTGTATGGCGGGCGGTTCCTGGAGGGACGGCCCGAGGTGAGAGGCAGGAGAGGAGGATAGGATGCTGATGGAGGGGAGCAGCCATGGAGAAAAGGGGAGGGGTGTTGCTGTAGAGAAGTGGTGGGGGGCCTGCAGGCTATATACCCAGAAGGGGAGACCTGCGTTTTCCAAAAGGGAGAATTAACCCCTCTGTTGTGTGACCGCCTCGAGACATGGATGAGCCATGGGGGCTTTGATTTCTGTGCTGGGGGATGTGAAGATCAGGGACAAAGTTGGAAGTTATTGATTTAAACTAGATAACTAGTCCGAAAAAAAATAGGTACGGAAGCATCTGTGCAAATGTGTTTCAAAATGCAGGCTAGTTTGACTATAGGTATAGGACAGATTGAAGTTGAACAAAACAATGTTTGTGTGCAAAGGTAGGAGGTTCTGGGTGGTGCATGGTCCTGTTTGTCAGTGTTTCACGTCCTGCATGTGGTCCTACTGTAACAAGAATCAAACTTAGATGAGATAATGCATGTCAGGCGTGCATGGCAGAAGGAATTGCAAAGATGAACAGGGAGAAAGCGGATTTATTTAGAAAGTACAGTACAGGGTGAAGAAGATATCTAGTTTTGAGGAGGAGGAGGAGGGTGGGGGTGCTGGTGTAACATTTCTGGAGGACTAGCAGCTGCAAAGGGGACAGCTGGGTTGCCGGCTAGAGGAGGACGGGCTTCGTCTTAAAAGGTTCTAAGGGATATTTATAGAATTCCTAAGAGAGCCCATGGGTTTCATATGAGAAGGAAAAGGAGGGTGGGGGTAGAAGGGGTGGAGGTGTTTTTCACTTGTGTCCATTCTGACGTCTCAGGAAAGTAATTGCAAAGGTTTTCTTTAGCGTTTACACTTGGCTCTGAGCAAGTTTCCATCGTTTGTGTTCTCTCTGAGGAAGGGGTCACCAAGGAATGTCGAGGCGGACTCATTACTGGACGTTCTCCATCATCTTCAGAAACTCTGGGGAGGAAAAGAGGGCCACAGTCAGTCAAAAACCAACATGGAGTGTGGGTGTCAGTGTGTCGAATCAAATAATGGGGAACACGTGATTGTAAGGCCTAAAAGTCGTAGGCCTACAAGATGAAACTCCATGTCTTCCAGTTTCCGCTATAAACATTTAAAAATAAGAACGAATATTTCTACTTCATGTGCTCACAGACTCGTGCTAATGCCTCTAATGTACTTCAACACATGGATTAGCCACTGTCTCGTCCATGTGAAGTGTACCCAAGTGCAGTACACCAAAGTATCTTTAAAGAAAAATCATTTATTGTAAGTTGTCCAGGAATAAAAGTGCTGGGAAGGCAACACAAAAAAACGAACAAAACGAAGCAGAACTCTCTCTCATTATCAAACATCAAGAATCTGACAAAAACTGAGAGAAAACCAGAACTGAAATAGATGCAAGTCTAATCAACAGGACAAGACACAGCTGGGGAGGGCACCAGGTGAACAGAATCAGGTTATCAAACAGGAAGGAAAACACAGAGACAGGAAGTAAAAACAGACATAACACAGGGGCCCTTTCTCATTTCATCAAATCCCCCTCCTCGACTCCTCGACTCCTCGTTCCTCCGGTAGTGATCCGGAAATGAATTTCAGCGCGCCATGTTGAAGGACATCTAATTTCTCTAAATGCACTTCGAGGACCGAGGATCGAGCGTCGAGGAGGCTCTCTGTAGGAGCTATTACCGAGGATACACTGATGGGTCCTCCACGGTCCTTCGCGGCTCCTTCGCGGATGCATTTCCGGGAACGTTGGGTATAAAATAGGCGTGACACACCGCTGGAATCATTTCCAAACCATGGCGGGAGCAATGCACAAATGTAAGTGTTGATAATGATAAGTTGCATTAGTTATTTAAGAAGTGAAATGCGCGATCCAACTCCGCCCGTCTGTATGCAGTTAGAGCCCTCAAACCGCATTCCTTATTGACATTTCACCTGATATTCTTTATGTTTTTATCCACATTTTAACTACACCCAATCCTGCTACAGCATGCCATGATGTTTAAAAGTGCAAACGTTAATTTTTTTGTAAGAGTGTTAAATCAACCAGAACTTTGTTTAGCATTCAGCACCATCATTTGGTTTGGGCTATGTTGTACACTATAATCCATCGCGACCTTTTACTTTGTCTTTTCACAGGGACAGAGCAAGACACTCTGACCCTCATCAAAGTGAGGGTCGAGAACGATAACCTTTTTACTGGCTGAAGGCACACTGCCAAGAAAGCCTGGGAGTGAGTGACATTTTCCTGGATTGGGAACATATCCGTATTTTACGGCCATGCATGAGGCCATCGGTGGGAGGCCATCCATCGACCCTCCCACCCTGATGGACTCGGCCACTGCTGCTGTGGCTTCTGGCAGTGGCTCAACATCCACTAAGGCTGTCCAGAGCCAGGCCACAGTGGAGG